GTAAAACATAAAATGTTTTGAGTGTACCTGCCTGAATAGGAGCGAGATCAGAGCGATCTTGTACCAGCCTCTATGCTGTAATGTTTAAGATATGGGGGGGGAAGAAAGCGGATGTCTCCCTACTCTAGACCAGGGTGAAGGGAAGGTCATGAGGGATAAGAATGAGTTCAAACTGCCTCCTTCATGAACGGGAGACCTGTTCTGAGCGTTTATCTGGCTAAAATTGATGTCCTTGATGATTTAAAGTGTTTTTTTCTTGGGAATAACCAAATGTTCAAGTGTGAGAAAAACATGTTTGAGGAGGTTAAATAAATTTGAACATTATTTCTTGCAAGAAATGCCTCCGTCTCAGCTTCCTAACTTCAGCTTAAAGTAACTACATTACTATTAAAGAATCCCCTTTGCCTCAATCAAAAGGTTTCTAATAAATTTTTTTTAAATAAAATAAATAAATTTGAATTCATGCAAACTATAGCAAGTCTTTCTGTAGAAGTGTAAAAGAAGTGAATGGAAGCAGAAGAAGGAATGAAGCAACAGCTTCCACAGCCTCCTGCAGGAGTCGCTGGGTCTTAAAGGAGGTTTTCATCTCAGTTTTTCCTTTCACTGCTTTCTGCCTTCTAGGCTGGGATCGTCACGAGAAATAGGGAAAAAAAAAGAAAAAAAAGACATCATGTCAGAAACAAATAACAAGTCAGGCTTGCTCAGTGAAGATTGGAGAGATTGATGTATTTCTGGCATCAGTTCCGATTCTGCAGGATGAAAAAAGTGTGAAAACATGATGTAAGAGGGAGACTTCTTCTTCCTGGGAATCAGAAACGTATTTGCCCTGTGCTAAAATGTCAACAAGTGGTTAATGAGCCCGGCTCTGTTAGTGGGATGTCACGTCTGGGGTTGAAATCACGTCTCCCACTTGACAGCTTGCGGTACGCTCGTCTCCTGGCATCTCCTCGGGTCGCCGCAGAGCAGGCGTTCTGACATTTGTTCTCACGCTCGCTCCGCTCCAACCCTGAACTCCCAGAGTGTGTTCAGAGCAATCAACCCCCGTTCCTTAAGATCATCTATCATTTAAGGTTAAGTCATATCTGTGCGGTTTGAGGAAATCATTCCAGTTTCACCTGGATGAGAGACTTCCTGATGACCCGGCTTACATCCAGCCGCCACTCAGCAACGTCCGGGTTGTGGTCGTCCAGGTTGGATGAGAAGGCGAGCAGATGGGATCTGAAGTATTCTGGAAGATAATGGGAGATTTTTGATTTGATTTTTGTGATTTTCTTTTTGAAAGAAAAGTTGACATTTTAAGCCACGGTTTCAAATAATTTTTACTACATTTTACTACAATTAGCACCACTTTTTAAGAGTAGATGAGTTAATGCAAAGAGAATGATGATCATAAATATTGAGTAGTTCTTCAAAGAAGTGAAAATGTGCAAACTGACAGTGGCTATGCCTCAGAAGTGTTGCCTCCTAATGACTGAGAAGCAGCTAATTATTGTGACACTGTCAGTTTGTGAACAGAGGCTCACCAAGCTAACTCACCATGGACAGCGATAGTCTTTCTGTCCTGGAGGATTGTATTCCCAGCGGCCACCTGCACCGTGACTGTATTGATCCCCTCCCTGGGGAATGTGCACGCCACACTCCCCTCCAGGGTGATAACTGGCTGCTAGAAGACAGAAAGAGAGGGAAGGCAGGACAGAGTCAGAGTCTGAGCGTTCCCCTGAGAGAAGGCTGGTTAACATGGCTGCTAGTTTACAGGCCACAGGTGTCAAACTGTAAATAAGACAATCAGCAGAGGGTAGGCAGAGTGAGCAGGTCTGCAGAGAGCAGCTCCTGACTGTCATAACTCAGATCTCCATTTATTCTTTAGACTTCTTTCAGATGCTTAAACAGCTACGGTTTGTCACCAGCTGATATAACAGGCTGTCCTCATCCACAGACAAACACTTTAACACAACAGAGAACCAGTCAGCCGGAGATCTCTGCAGGGGTTGGGCCAGACAGGCCTTCTGTTTCGGTAAACACCTTGTGTTTCTGCAACACTCAGTGTTTTATTTGCTTAACTTAAATCACAAACATAAATATTCATCTTCCATAGATCCATATATTTCTCTTTTATGGATGATTTACACACTGGTGTCTTTTTTTCTCTTGCACATTTCTGCTGCATTAAATCTAAAACACCAGGACTTGTTCAAATAATCTGGGCTCCAAACACATCCCACCGTTTAGTTAAGGAGAAAATCTACATCTGCTTCAAATGCTGAGGAACAAGGTTTGGATCAGCCCAAGGAAAACATTGAAGGAGCCGTTTCCAACATCCAGAGGCCAGAAGTAACTAGTTACATTACTCAGTTACAGTTAACATTTAGTCGTTTTTTCTGCACCGCACTTACACAACTTTACATGAACCTTACCAAACATAACAGTAAACGGTAAATGTTGTCATGGGCTCCATATAATTGATCATGGTGCAGCAGCACAGCATAATGAAAGCTGCCACATCTTCAGAACAAATAACAAAATAAGTTAAAACCGTCTCAGAGCTGCCAAGTTTCAGAAAATGATAAGAGGGAGAGTTAAGTGTCATGATGCCTTCGGCCCAGAAAATTTGCCCTTTTTTAACGTCCATTTAATCCTTAAGACCGAATACATCATGATCAACTCAACGCCAGCCCACCCTGGACGGGTTGCCAGTCCATCGCAGGGCAACACAGAGACAAACAGGACAAACAACCATTCATGCAGAACTCACACCTAAGGAGAAA